CTGTTGCGATCTCGCATCAGTTGTATTTAATTTATCTTGCATCTGATTCCGTGAGTTGGACATCAGAGAGATATCATCAGCGAAGTCCATGTCATCAGGCTGTTTTATAGGGGTCCACTAAATTGCATTCTTGGTGTTAGTTAGCACATGCTGTCTCATAATCCACCTTACTGTCAGTAAAGTAAGAAGAGGCGACAAAAGTCATCCCTGTCGCAAACCTGTTTTTTTTTTCCCCAAAAGGATATGTTGTCGGCTCTGTGGCTAAGTCAATGCGACCGCTTCGCTTCGTAATGCCGGGATGCCAGGTTCGATCCCAGCTGCGGACAATGCGCCTTGCATTGGTTTCGACAGTGGTATCAAGAAAGCCGAACGTCCAGAAAGCAATGGCAAACTACTGGATGTGAATTGCCTAGAGAAACCACACAACAGCCAAGGGCTGTTAGGGTTGGTTCTGCAACGTCCTGTAAAGGATACGCAACTAACTTGTATGTTAGCTTTCCCTCAAGAATAACTCGACCTTTCATGTCTTCATATTTTGGCTTCGCTAAGTTAATTTTATGTGGGATTCCCTGGTGCCTCATTACATTTCAGAGATTCCTTATCAATGCTGTCAAACGCTTTTTCATAGTCTATTAATACAGTGTAAAGAGGTGAACTGAATTCAAAGCATTGCTGTAGTATTTATTATACGTGATGTGGTTATCTGGGACAGTATAGAATGCCTAATGGGCAGTGGTCGGCTCTGTGGCTAAGTCGATGCGAACGCTTCGTAATGCTGGGGTGCCGGGTTCGATCCCAGCTGCGGGCGATGCGCCTTGCGTTGGTTTCGACAGTGGTATCAGGGAGCTGACCGTCCAGTGAGCAACGGCAAACTACTGGACGCAAATTTGCTAAGAGAAACCACACAACAGCCAGGGGCTGCTGGCGCTGGTTCTGCAACGTCCTGTAAAGGATACGCAACTAACAAGAAAATGTGCAGTGACGCAATTGTAAACACAAAATATAAGAATAGCAAGAAATGGAACATCATATCTCCTTACTCACATAAAGCGGTAAAAGAAAAAAAAAATGTTGAGGAGGTAAAAGACAAAGCAACTGTGTGATAGATATCAGTGCTGCCAGGGGATTTTTTTTGAAAAACCCTGCTTCGCTAAACAAAAACCCAAGCAATACATAGACAAAGAACAAAAAAAAACAAAAAATCCCAGATGTTGAAAATGTACAAAATTTATAGTTACGAAACGAAACATTTACCACTTTTATATAAGGATATATTAAAAAAAAAAAAAAAAAAAATTTCTCCGAGGCGTCAAATAAAAACTCAGATCTGGAGAAAAGGGGGGGGGGGGGGGGGACCCCAAGCATTGCAGCCCTGATAGATATAACGGGTGCGTATCTTGCGTAGGTAAAAAAGAGCCCCGAACCAGAAACTGGTTTTTTTTTTTTTATTGTTTTGGCCTGGCAGATTAACCTAACCACTTCCCGTGTAGAGAGGCCTTGCATTCTTGGCATTGTTCCCAGGAGCGTTTTACAACCATTACGTGACCTCCACAAGGAAGTAACGACTTCATCGTTGGACGCGGTTAACGGTACGGCCACAACGTGAAAAGGTCACACACTAAACAGGTCTCACCAGGACACGGCTGAAAAACGTATTTTGAGACACGAGCAATTACCCTCCCCCCCCCCCCCCCTCTCCAGTCTCCCCGACCATTTTATTTTTACCACTGTGTAAAAGTAATTTCACTGTATATAAAGTGTGTGGGTAAAAGGAGCGAGTGAGGGGGGGGGGGGGGGAGGGGGGGGGGGAATTGGCGTGGGGGTAAAACGCATCGAAACCTGGAGCTCTCAGGCACCTTGAGTCCCAAACCTAACAATACAATTTTTAGCTGAGGCCACAACCTTCTACCAAATATGCAAGATGGCTTCCCCCCCCCCCCCCCCCCCCCCCCCCGTCCCCCGCCCCCTCCCTTGTTACCAAAAAACCATTATAGACATTTTCTCTTCAAGTATTTATTGTATACATGTCATACTACTGAAGCGAATTATTACTCTTCAAGGATGATAAGTCCGAACATGAGATTCACATTTCAAGGATCGCGCATGTAAGTAAAATAAAAATCTTCACCTGAACAGTCGTGACGACAGCACTAGCCATGCGGCCGTCAAATCGTCAGGCTCAAACCCCACCCCCATCCTTGCACACAGAAGTAGTATAATTAAGGCAATAATTGACAGTTAGCGCATGTAATTGAAGTATCAATACAATACCCTTCTCACGCCACTGAAGCGTCGGCACATGATACTACAGTGCGTTTCAAAACTCACACTGTCACACTTCAACATGACGATCCTAAAGAACAATGATAGCCAGGATTTGGTATGGCTAATCAATCCCTTTTTTGAGATTTTTCTCTCAGTGTATCTTCATTATGCTTGTATCTGATTATAGTGGTGTTGTCATAATCCTCAGAAACTACATTTCTGCAGCCGATAATTTCTCACTAATTTGGAAACTGCACAAACCTTTCGGGTCTGTCTGTGTAATGTCTAACGGTTGCTTCTTGCGAGCAAGTGTCAAAATAGAGGCAAATATCACACAATTACTTTAAGTGGCTGCCCATTTTGGTGTCACGATGAAGCAAAACAAAATGTCAGCAGGTTTTCGTCTGTTGTATTTTTGTTCTTAGTTTAGATTCACTGGTTTCATGCAGGCATCGTGTGTAGATAGCTCCGGTCTTCTCCTCTCCCTCCTCCTTCTCTCTACCCCAGTAAATGTGTGGTTCTCAAATAGTTAATAACATTTTAACTTTTGTGAAATATCAGATCTCATACATCGTTTATTCCAGTGTTGGTTCCAGGTCCCCATTTTGGCAAAAGGGGGGGGGGGGGGAGGATAGAGCCACTGCAAGTTTCTCCTTCTCTAGCCAGTTTTCCAGCCCTGTGTGCTTTCATGACCTTAAATGTCCTGTATACCCGCGTGTGTATACTCAGTGATTCAATGCGGAGGTTCAGGCAGATGCGAAGACAATGCATTACAGAAGTCCCGGGACTTCACCGACGGTCAGCTATGTTCTCATTTATTATCAATGCCCTCAGAGAAATGGGAAGGATGAGGACTTTGGTGGCAGTGAATCCACATCACTCGCCTGTGGCAGACTATAAGATCGGCACAGCAAAAACGAGACGCACACCAGCTACGCTTGTCAACATAGAACTGGCTATTAGCCATCGGACGTTGGGGTTCATACTGTTTATGGACATGTGCAATGAGGATAACAATTAAACTAACTAACTAACTAACTAACTTCTAACTAACTCTAACTAACTACAACTAACTAACTAACTAACTAACTAAATGGTATGACCTTCGCGGAAGTCAGTTTTTCTTCTTCGCCTGTATTCAGAACACCTTAGCTTTCCGGACCGGTACTGTCGTCAAAACAGGATGCGGTTTTTCTAATTATTTGTAGTCGGTTGCTTGCGGCTAAATCGGCTTAAATGTGTTAAATTCTAGCTGTAAACTACACCACGACAAGCCAACTGCAATTCGAAAGGTGAACGCAGGACAAGAGGAGGAAATATAACCATTTCTGGAGAGATAACTGTGATACTCTTCTCCTTCGCCTTCATCAGGTGTCCTCTGGTAGAAAGTTTTGGTTGTTCGTCCCCTTCTGGAGTGCAGTCCTGTTCCAGAACCTGGGTGTTGCGCGTGCATCCGTTTGACAGATCTGACACATTTGTGCCAGAGAGTTTTGCATGTACTTCCGTTTTACTAATTTGTGTGCAGCTGGTTGTTCCATGCTTCTCAGGCAGATCTACTCCGACTTCGAAGGAAGCTCCCCGTTAGTCGACTCTTAAGAAATGCTTTTGGGTAGGCAGAAGGTCTGTTCTTGTTTTCCCTATAACAGGGCTCCGAAACCCAAACGGAGGATAACTGAAACAGTCTATTGCAACGTACAGCTATCATCATCATCCTGTTGCTTAGGTAATACGCCACACAGAGCTCACAATCTGTCTATTCCTTAAATCTCTTGATTATTTTGAGCCAGATAAGTCTGTATTAGATTAGTAACCATGGACGTGAAATGTATGAGAAAGGCGGAAGTAGTGACCAGAAGAGATAATTCAAGAATGAGCACATAAGAGAAAAGAATTCGGCACAAACCCAATTCTAAATCACATGCAAAGCCAGCAAATCAAAAGGTTCCCTCACTTAGAGAGAATGTTTTGGGACGCCATACTGTACAAGGTATACACCACAAGTGGAGAAGGACGTAGAGCACAAGGTGAGCCAAAAACAAAATGGGAAGATAGCACCAGAGAAACTCTGCAATAGCACAATGTGTCTATGGTCGAGGCGGGCAGAAGAACAAGAAGCAGGACCTTATATCTTCATCGACACCTGAAGTTGTAAAAGGATAGTGAAGAAGAGGGCATGCCTGACCACTGACTTCACCAGAACGCCTTGGTCTTCGAGTGCACAGAGAGATATATCCTTTCTATTCATCCTTAACTGGGTAAACGTCATTGACCAGTAGTTGTTAAATCCTTTTGTAACAACTGTTGAGGGAGATCGAAGACCTACAGATGTTTCTTGGGTAAGAAAGAAATAAAGAACCCATCTCTACACCTTCAGAGGTATTTGGCTTATAGTGAGTTAAGTCAAGTAAAGAACCCATTTCAACGCCTTCAGATCTATAGGGAATAAAGGGTAAGACCTATATTTTACAGATCAGTCAGCACTCGATGGGTCACGTGGTCAACACAAAAAGGGCTGATTTTACTTTCCAGCAGCATCTAGCCGCTACACCGCGCTGGCTACCTACACAGGTATCCAGAGGCTAATCTAGTTCATTGACCCTTACCTGTGGAGACCGGTATTTGATGAACTCTTGTGTGATAGCTATTGGCGGAAAGACTAAAAACCCACTGATGTTTCTGGAGTTGTGTGATAATATTTCTTATGATTGAGTGTAGTTCTGTTGTCTCTTCTCCAGCGAAGCTGAACTTCATGTCAGACCCTAGCGGTTCAGGCAGCATCCGGATCAAAGGTGATGCTGTGAGAAAGTTTCTTTGCTTTAGTCGAAATGGACGACTCATCAATCGAGTAAGTTATTCTTATTATCGTTTTCTTTTTCTGTCTCGTAATATAGAGCAAATTATTCTATTTGTGTGTTTATTTTGTGTGTTAACATACCGAGTAAGTAATTCTTATTATCGTTTCTCTTGTAAATTGTTTTTTATTTGTGTCTTTATATATTAATTTTTATTCTTGTTAAAACCGCTCACATGCCTTACCTTTTCTCTTTGTACAGTTACCTCATCAAAGTGTTTTCAAGATGCGATCTTCTTTTGGCTTTTTCTAAAGCTATACTTATCTGTAGTTGTTCTTTATGCGGTCGTTCCATCTATTCCATAGTCTTCGATCTTTACCTCGCTCATTATATATACAGAGCAGTGTTCCACACGATAGCTGGTACGAGCCTAAGCTTGTCATGAAAATCGTTTGACTGCTTTTTGTCTTATTCTTCTTCATCTGAATTTCCTCTCTCAGTTTTTTCACTCACTGTCGGCGTATGTGTTTTAGGCGTTGCAAACGCTTTTCGTAATGCGGGGTTGCCGGGTTCGATCCCAGCTGCAGGCGATTTGGCAGCAGGCCGTCTTGTTTTGGTTTCGACCGTGGTAACGAGAGACAACCGTTTATAGGCAACGGCAAACTACTAAAGGTAAAACTTTCGGCTATCTTCCGAATAACGGTCCCAAATTATCGAGGCGGAAATATACCTTAACAGAGCCTCAGTCAGGTGTCAGTTGCGCACTTTCGCCACCGCTGAGAGTGGATTCGGGCTAAACTAGATGGCTGGGACTCACGGGCAGCAGCTACCGCATCTCCTGCAGCATCCTTCAATTTTATTTGCTCGTGAGTCCTAGCCATCTAGTTTAGCCCCAATCCACGCCGCGTGAGCGGCGTGAAGGATACTCTCGGCGGTGGCGAAAGTCCCCGGAAGATTGCAATTCGGGAGTGGCGGTATAGTCCCTAGAAGTACGCAAATGACACGTGACTGAGGCTCTGTTAGGGTATATTTCCCGCCTCGATAATTTGGGACTGTTATTCGGAATATAGCTAAATTTGCTTATAAAAACCGCAACAGAGAAACAGTTGAAAATGTATACCATGTATATCGTAATCAGCCAAAGTTAACGCAGTATTGCCGGCTCTGCTATAAACAAGCAGGAAACAATTACCACTACAGCACGCAAAACTATCGAACGAACGAAGAAACAGAAATAATTGTTATTCCCCCAGTACAGGTGCATTAAGCTAACAACGAATCAACCTGAAAGGATAATCCTTTCCCCCAATCCTGACTTAATGTTTACAAGTGTGTTAATTTGATATTAACCCCTACTGGATACAATTTATCACATTTCATTCAGCCTTTGTACCGCGTGAGGTATTTAGAAGGTTAACACTCTATGTGGTTACATTCTTCTGGCGGGAAATTTGATCTGTTACTTAATGTAACCTTTACCCATAAAACACCTGACACAGTTGTAGTACTCTTTTGCAACATTATACAAGTCAATCTGAACACAGCAACAGAGTGCTGCCGTTGCGGAGTGGCCTGACGCTTGCCTGCGGGCCAGACCGTTAGTACTTATCCACATCGCCGCTGATTTTTTTAAACAAACCTTCACGACCTTAGAGCCTAAATTAAGTGCCAGGAAATGTCATTGAAAGTATAAGCCGTTGACGAGATGTTGTCTACATAACGCATCCGCTAGGTGTCAAAATAATCCACCCAATCATCACCCTCGTGTAACACTGCGTGTCGTCGGGTCCACAGTTGCTGTTGACTGATCTGGTCACTCTACTTTTAATGGTCATTTGCAGTAGACTTCCTGGTGGCATTCCTAAGGCCTGTCTGGTCAGTCAAGTTATGTATCCCGGTCTTTCATGGTGTGCCTCTTCTTCTCTACTGAACCTCGTAGTGTGATCTTTCAGAGGCCGTAGATCGTAATACAAGTCCATACCATTGCATTTTCCGTCTTCTCACTGTAGTTGAAAGAGTGCCATAGCTGATGATGTGATGGATAATTATACGGCCGACTTGGTCATTAATACCATGGTCTCAGTATGATATGTCCAGAGTTTTCTAAATGCTTTTATTTCCAACTCTTGTATCTTATTTCGAGTTCAGCTGTTGCGCCATCAACATTATTACACATTCATCTTACAGTTCTGGTTTATCTGTATGCAGACTGTTGGTTCCTGATATCTCAGGCGGATGCGCTACGACTTCAAAGGATACAAGTCTATTCAGTCAACTTTGACGACATGCTTGGTGAAAGGAAGGGTGGGGGGCCTCAAAAGCCCCCCTACCCACCCCTCCCCAACTAGCATGTTGTCAAGTCGACTAATTAGGGGTGTATTCTTAGAAGTCTTAGCGCATCCGCCTGAGATACCAGGAGCCAACAGTCTGCATACAGATAAACCAGTACTGTAAGACGGATGTTAAGGCAGAACTCAAGTTCTATAACAAAGACTACCTTTCAGGAATGGATGAGTAACCAGAACTTTCCGCAGGAGTGTACAGTCGGTAAACACCAAGGAGAAGAAAACAAAGAAGAAGAAGAATGGCATATAAATATAATGAAAGTTTTTACGCCTTCAGGCGTATAGGGCATGTAGGGCTAGACCTATATTTTACAGACAAATCGGCACTTGGTGAGTGATATGGTCAGCATCACGCCTTTACTTTCCAGGAATGGACCCGGTACCCACTCAAGACTGGGTCGACCTGGCAGACAGGATCATGTTTGAAAATAGTCTGGCTTCGTCAGGACCCGAACCCAAAGCCCTTTCGATCCGCAGGCGAGCGTCTAGCCGCTACACCACGTTGGCTCCCATGTAAATATAATAAAATACTCTACAAATGTGAATGTGAGCGTATGTGTGTGTGTGTGTGTGTGTAATAGAGGGGGTTCAAGTTACCTAACCACCCCATCTACCCCCCCCCCCCCCCCCCCCTAGTCCCTCTTCCCCCCCCCCCCCCCCGTAGCTTTCGCCGCCTGTACTGAACACCACACTGAAATCACCGTAACCTGTTGTTTATTGGACAGATATTGGGCATCAGACAGAGGTGTTATGAGCTGCTCGGATTTCATTCTGCCTGTTGGTGTCGCATAAACAACATTAAATCATAGGCTACGCACTGTGGACAGATCTGTTACAGAAAATATCTATCGTTTCGCTAGCCTCCAAACGACACCGGGAATTTGTCGTCTTGATTTACCGGCAGACGACAGACCCGACAACCCTGTGTGACGCTTTTTCTCCTGGGCAATCTGCTCCGATATGATCCAGGCAAGGCTCAGGGCGGTTGAATGTAAAGCTAGCCTTTGTTCTTAGACAAGCCAGCAAATTGCGCTGGGACAAGGATGCTGCGTTGTTTTATACTGTGGAATGTGTGGACGTCTGTAATGTTCAACGGAGAAGGTTAGAAGAAACGCGGTTATCTCAAGAAGAGGGAAATTTCTCTGGCATGCATATACAAGGAAAAACGAGAAATACACACATATATACACACGTGTATGTCGAGTTCGTGGGTGTTGAAAGAGCAGCATTGAAGATTATAATTAGGAAAAACATTACACAACAATAGAGAAAGTTTGACCCTGAGAATATAATAAAACAACAACTCTTGTGAACAATCAAGGTCATCGTGAAACAAAAAAATGCGCATTAGGGAAACAATATGGACATGATGGACTATATTATAAATCAAAATAAATAGGGAGTTTAAAAAAATTTGTGGGGGAGAAATGTAAACAAATTAAAAAAATGAATTTAATTTGCTTAATCAAACACTTATAAGTTGTACTCATACGAGATCTATTGTACTGTTTGCCTGCTGGGTTTTCCAGTCACAGATTTTTGTTGTATTTAGTTCTCCATTGATAAAGACTTTTGTCAGAATCTTCAGTTGTCTTTGAGCACGTCTTATCCATTCCCTCTGTTAGGCTTTCTAGTCACATTTTATGTTGTATTTAGCAGTTCTTGTCATTAGGTTTCGACAGTGGAATCAAGAAGCCGGCCGTCCAGGAGCAATGGCAAACTACTGGACGTAACCTTGTCTCGAAAAACCACAGAAGCCAAAAAATGCTGTTGTTGGCTTTGCAATGTCCTGGTAAGAATACACAACTAACTTAAACTTTTTTAATTTGGTGCTCATAAATACTTTTTGTGTCTTTTCAGACAAACGGAGGCAGCTCACGGTGCAAGTTCTACGAAGAACCTCACCAAAACTATATCAAACTACAATCAGTGGCAAACGCCAAGTGGTACGTAGGCTTTAAGAAAAGCGGGAAAAAGATGAAGGGATACGCTAGGAAAGACAGATGGATGAGGGAAAAGTGTTTTATGTTCATAAAAAGTGAGTTCAATACCACACATACGAGGCCGAAGACTGAACGCTTTTTAGAAGCCAAAGTTGAAAAGTTACAGAAAACGTACCACTTACAGGACAAATACCGAGGCCGGCGATGATAGAATAAACTTAACCCAAACTGACGACGCCATCCAGTTTTCAGTGCCCTCGTTATGTATCCCAAACAGCTGTGGACAGAACACTGTTCGTGCAGACCCTGTTTATTTTGATTGGTGTTTTCATAACCAAGTGGTCAAGCCTGCTTCTTTCTAGCTGTGTCCAAGAAAGTGGACACTGCAACCAGCCTTATCATCTGTGATATGTAAGTTATGAGAAAGAAAGCAAGCATCCTTGGATTACATGGAGCACTGATCATTTTCTTTGTGAGAATTCTTTCGTAGATGCAAGGGGGCTTCGACGGCTTTTCATCGTGTTTCATGTAATCTTTACATTCAAGTAAAACGAACAACATTCAACGTTGCAATATCAGCAGTCAGAATCGCTTAGGTTTAAGAAGTATATGCAGTTATAGGTAAAGATATGTGTTATCAAGACTTAGGGCACTGTTATCTTATACAGTTCTTATGCACGGCATGATGTCCTGTAATCAATTCTATTCGATTAACTACAACGTATCAATGCTTATTGATGTTGTCGTGGTAGAAAAGTGGTTAGATTCATACCTTAACACAGCAGAACCTATGTTCAACTCCCAGCGCCTGCAGGATTGCTTCCCTGACAACTTCTTGGCTGGAGGACACCAGAGTCCTACACGAAATGGGCATCAGGGATGTTCGTGAGCAGGACCGGACGACTGACGCAAAATCTGTCCGCTTGAGTCGTTTTGGTCATTGATATATCTACCAATCAATTACATCTGTTGTATGTCTTAATAACAGCTGCACATCATTAGATAGTAGTGTCATCAATTCTTCCCTGCTTTTATTTTTTTTTAAACGGTCATCAGATGTGAGACCAAGAGGCAGGGTTGGGGACGGCAAAAAGCCCACAAAATAAGCTGATCCGGTCCTACCTATTGCAACCGCAGTTAAGTGACTGACTACACACACTGGGTTAATTTTTAATTGAAAAAGTGTGTATGGCTATTACCTTGTGTTATAAATATCTAAATGGTCTTTAAAACAGAAAAAGAAAAACCGTTCCACACTTCCACTATGATGATACAGTTTTTCGGAGAGCTGGTTAAATCGAGGCCGTATCAACACACAAATGGTTCTAGTAGATAACGTACTACAGCTGACGATAAGGCCTCACATGATTGCCAAACCAGCTGTGTGAAAATAAACATGTATATACAAATGTATAAAAGGTGTATATGAACATAATACCTCATATGTATGCTTCTTGTTTAACTGAATACACGACACACCCGCATTTTATTGTATATTCAAACCTGATGGTAACAACTGAATGGCTGTCTATAAAGTGAATAAAGTTTTGTAGACAGTTTTAATACTGTCAGTCCCAGAAGGGCCATGGTTCATGTGTGAAGGAGGCAGTGATGGCAGTACCTAGCATGGAGTGTACCATTTAAGAGGGGCCATGTAGACAGATTTAATACAATCAGTCCCATGAGGGCCATGTTTGATGTGTGAAGGGGTCAATGATGACAGTACCTAGCACGTAGTGTACCACTTCCACAGGGGCCAAGTAGACAATCCTTTTAGGAAATAAACATGTTCTCAGCTTTCTTGATAAACATGATTTTTAAAAGCTAATAGTGTAGTCAGTGGCTGTCAACGTGCACTGGATCGCAAATTATTCCTCCCCACGACGTTTAACGGCAGAAGTGGTTTATGATGATTTTGATGATGATTAGTGTTTTGATGAGAGTTCTCCTCGTGTGGGGTCTGAAGCCCCATTGTGGGGGAAAACAAGAATAGACCCTGCCTTCTCTACAAGCATGTGGTAAGATTCGACTAATTGGCAGCTTCCTTCGAAGTCGGACTGCATCAGTCTGAGAGGCAAGGAACCAACGGTCTGCACAGAATAAATCAGATCAGTAAAACGGACGTGCACGCAACACTCAGATTCTGGAACAAGACTCACGTCCAGACGCGGACGAATAATCAGAAATATCCGCCGAAGTTTACAGCCTGTGACCGCGAAGAAGAATAAGAAGAATATAAAATGTTCAGTAACTGTATGAATAGTAACTCCCTGTTACGTTGTAACTTGAAGAGTTGTTTGGTACAAAATCAATGTCTATTGACATAATCTATGAATATACTAGAGTGAGTCAAACATTGTCTCAACTTCTGTTAGCTTTATCTGTTGTATTATAACTGTTATCAGCTGCATGTGTTGTATAGTGCTGTTGGTCCAAACTCAATACTGTGCAGGTATCAAGGTGTTACGTCAAAGCAAGTACTGGACCTTTGTCAGTACAACGGTTCAACCAACGGCAGTGATGGTTGCAGTGAGATGCTCACTAAATACATGATGTCTCAACTTCGAACTAAACGTTAATGAAATGACGTTATGAGCTTGTATGACAATCCACTTCGGTACACTTATGTACATACGGTTGACACTCCACTTAGGGGTGTGTCCTTCGAAGTCGTAGTGCAACTGTTTAAGAAGCGAGGAACTAAAAGTCTGCTTACAAATAAACCAGACGGATATGATCGCAATATTTCATTGTTCTGGAACAAGACTAAATTCCAGAAGTGGTTGAATAACCAAAACTTTCCACCGGTGAACGCGAAGAAGAAGAAGAAGAAGAAGAAGAAGAAGAAGAAGAAGAAGAAGAAGAAGAAGAAGAAGAAGAAGAAGAAGAAGAAGAAGAAGAAGAAGAAGAATAAGAAGCAGACAGTGAACTGTGGTAAGATACAATGAAAATGTCTTCACATGAATTAGCTCGGGAAAAGAACAGACCACCCACGTTAAAGGAGGTTATTAGGCATTTTTTGGGTACCTCATGAAAAGGGGACAATTGGAGTAGCCAGTGACCCACGAAACTGGGAGGGGAAGAGGGACAGGTTATGTCCCTAGAACTGATGACCCCTACCAGAAGACGTTAATATACAGGATGGGACACATTTCAACTGCATAGTGGAGCATGTAAAATCAATATTTATTACCAAATATAGGAAAACACTGCCAAAGGACGGTATATATTCCCGGTGTTCAGTGTTTGAAGATTACATCTTTGAGATGGACACCACTTTGACGAGAATATTCTTTAGCTATAACAGTTATGTTCAGCATAGTCTAGCGCAGGGTTGTGGCTGGTATGGCACTCAGGATGTTATCCTTCAGTTCATTGATGATAGTGGACATTGTGGTGTAACATGTAAAAGTAACTCTAATTTTAACACTTCCTATCACGCTATTTCTAAAACATGAACGACAGTTATTGCTCATAGTAATATATATGTCCACCCTGTGTGGGTATGCTACAAAGTAAGTATCAGAAGTAAAGGATCAATTTATGCCAGTGATGAATCGTGCATATGATGCTGTGCATTATTTATAGAATTACAAACACTCAGTGGGGGGATGTGATCAAGATAGCACTGGTCGTAATAAACACTCAGTAGTGATGTGATCAAGATAGCACTGGTCGTAATAAACACTCAGTGGTGATGTGATCAATATAGCACTAGTCGTAATAAACACTCAGTGGGGGATGTGATTAATATAGCACTGGTCGTAATAAACACTCAGTGGGGGATGTGATTAATATAGCACTGGTCGTAATAAACACTCAGTGGGGGATGTGATTAATATAGCACTGGTCGTAATAAACACTCAGTGGGGGATGTGATTAATAAAGCACTGGTTGTAATAAACACTCAGTGGGGGATGTGATCAATATAGCACTGGTAATAAACACTCAGTGGGGGATGTGATCAATATAGCACTGGTCGTAATAAACACTCAGTGGGGGATGTGATTAATATAGCACTGGTCGTAATAAACACTCAGTGGGGGATGTGATTAATATAGCACTGGTCGTAATAAACACTCAGTGGGGGATGTGATTAATATAGCACTGGTCGTAATAAACACTCAGTGGGGGATGTGATTAATAAAGCACTGGTTGTAATAAACACTCAGTGGGGGATGTGATCAATATAGCACTGGTAATAAACACTCAGTGGGGGATGTGATCAATATAGCACTGGTCGTAATAAACACTCAGTGGGGGATGTGATCAATATAGCACTGGTCGTAATAAACACTCAGTGGGGGATGTGATCAATATAGCACTGGTCGTAATAAACACTCAGTGGGGGATGTGATCAAGATAGCACTGGTCGTAATAAACACACAGTGGGGGTTGTGATCGACATAGTACTGGTCGTAATAAACACTCAATGGGTGATGTTCTTAACAAAGCACTGGTCGTATTTACTTCCCAGAGCAACCTGGCAAATAGATTAGGCTGAGTCAACCTGGCAGTCACAGTCAATTTTGAAAAATTCTGACTCGATGCGGATTCGAATGGAAGACCTTCAAGTTCAGCACGCGACCGTCTAGCCACTATGTTGCCTCACCTCCCTTTGTGTTTGTGAGAGAACGGGACAAAACTCACTTGCAGGATGACCACCTATTGAAAAAGGTAGTTGAGTGGAAGATGGAAGGGGAACACAAAGTACGGTGTTAGTTAACAGTTAGGCATAGTATGAAAGAGTGTCCGTAATCAGAAAGTACTGGGAAGAAACAGGAGCGAATATATTTGATCAGAGAGTAATGGTAAAAACAGGAGAGAGATTGCTCACCTCACATAGGAACTAGAGGAATAGAAGAAGATTTTCTGGACTCGTAAATTAATATGTGTTTTACGAGTTTACAAAAACAGTTAAACCAAAAAACAGATCAATATAAATTAAGTGTATATTTTTAACTCTCAATATACTTTATAAATTGCTTGAATTGAAACAGAAGGCATATCATTCGAAAATACCCAATGACTTCAGGTGGTATATGGGTCATTATTTAACTGCGGTTTTAGAATACTTAATAAATTACTTCGGTGTGTAAAACAGTGTTTGTATATCTTGGTATGTATATATTGTTGTAATCATGATGTTAATTGTATTTATTGTATCAATGTTAGACAACCACAGACCAATCTCTAGAGCGGTTGCCG